TATATATAAAAATGACTAACACCTTTCATTTTTCTCATCATTGCCCAAGTTGCACAAGAACTTTAACTTTCTGCATGAGCTTATTTCAGAAAAACAGTGTACCTTAAAATATTGTTCTCTTCTAAGAAATTTTACACACAAAACAACTTATAAAAGATTTTATTACACACCAATCATGAACAATTTCAAAGGAACTTAAATGGAAAAGAAACAAAGAAATCACAGATATTACTAACTGCAGTTCTGCTCTCCGCCAGTAGGTGGCGACATTTCTCTTAATATGAAACGTGTGGTTTGTTGAAACAATTTGCCTAAAGTGTTCAACGCCTCACAACAAGGCTTCATCTCACCATCACAACTAGTGATAGAATCTCCACCTCTAAATATACCTCTGTTTTATTTCACATAACTCCACACTTTACCCCAATGGATTTATTTAGCAGTATTTCTTCTTAAATGCTTCGTCGTTTTTTGGATCTCATGGTCAGGAGTTTTATTTTATGATGTTTTCTAATAAATATTTCAGAAGTCGTACACTTTTATGCACAAAAAAAAGAAGTTTGTGCAAGTTTTTCTTTTTTTAAGACCTCTAAAATAATGGTCCCAGTATTCCAGATGTTAAATTCAGGCATAAATCCTAACCAACATTAACCCATCCTTCGTTTTAATCGTTTTAAGTTTAGTATTTTGGCCATTTAGTAAAACTATTGCAGGGATTCTCAAAGTGGGGTTCAGGGTCTCCTGGGGGGTCTTTAGACACCACATGGGGGAGGATTTTTCACCATTACTGTCACATGATTGCTAAGGTTTATGGAGGGCTATAACTGTGACATAAAATACTTTATTCAATGACTATGAATGCCATTTATTTATGTTATACACAATTAAATTATGAAATGTTAAACTAAATATAGGTTTGGAAGGAAAACACATTTATTAATAAAGGAATATATTTACATACAGTATCTGTATTTTTAACTGGCGGTTCATTCCTTGGCCACATTGTGGCTCGACCTTTCTAATACCTCAACCAAAATGATCAGGTTATCCTGATCTATCTCTATAGTTCTGCTGCTATAGGCTTAGACTGCTGGAG